TCTCTCTCTCTCTCTCTCTCTCTCTCTCTCTCTCTCTCTCTCTCTTATTAGCACGAAATGGTAGGGTCTATGATTAGGCTTCTGGTGTGTCCCCTGCATTGACTGCGGTGGAGCTCTTAGCATCTCCATTTATTTCTTCGCCAGAGTTGGTATGCTGACATCCTTCACTCTCCTTTAATGCGACGGGCAAAGACATGGCCTCCCTCTCTTTCTTCTCCTTGTTCTCCTTGTACTTCCCCCAGAGAACCGAGTAGAGCCCGATAATAATGAGGATCGCACCAAGAACACTGCAAACCACATTGAAGAAACAGAGGGATAAGAATTGGAGGTTTTGGGATCCCCAGGGGTACATGGAAACTCACCCTCCGAGATAGATCTTCTCGTTCAGGATGAAAGAGCCCATGATGGCAACTATGATCATCATCAGAGGACTGAAGGCTGATGCAAAGACTGGCCCTCTTTTCGCTATCACCAGCCCTTGAACATAGTAAGCGACGCTAGATGTGACAATTCCCTGCATATGGTAGCTTAGATCAGCATACCTTCCATCATATAACGATCACAGATGCAGGGTAGTCAGAGATCATGAAAAGAGTATTCACAGCGTAGGCAGCAGCAAGGAGGTTCATATCAAAGCCTATGGTCCAAGCAGAAGGCTTGTGCTCCATGACCAAAGTGACGGCTATGGCTTGCAATGTCCCTACGAAGCATATCCACGTCGTGAGAGACAGCTGAGCAGAGTACCGCCTCAGTGTTACTGCCTGCGAGAGTTGCAGAGATCAAACAGTCAGTACTCTGGAACGAAGGAAAGTTCATGTATGCTACAGACTTGGCTACCTGAAGGACGAACAGAGAAGCCCAAGCTAAGGTGGCCAGGATGAGGAAGATGGAGCCGAGAAACCAGTCCCTGCTGCTCGATTCAGTGGCGGCTGGAGAGTTGGATGCATGAGGATGAACATGCTTTGTCCAAACCATCTCCACTAAGGGACCTTTGTAAAGTGTCATCAACATCGCCCCAGCCACAGTCACCAACGTTCCGGCCACCTTCGCCTGGTATATCACCTTCTTCAGATCCACCTTCTCCATCCTAACATCCGAATCCCACATCACCAGAACAACCAGTTCATTAGCTTGCACAGCGAAACACAAATTACCACGCAGCAGAAAGATCAGCTGATGACCAACCTACATAACACGGCCATCACGAAGGTCATGGCCGGCAAGATGTTGCTCATGGCGCATGAGAAGGTAGGAGAGGTCAACTTGAGTCCAACGTAGTAGAAGTTCTGGTCGATCACAGGCCTGTAATAGCATCAAGCATCGAGGAATGAGCTCTGTTTGTGTACATACATAGATAGGAGTACTGCGTGCAGAGACCATGCGAGAACTCACCCGAGAAGTCCCAACACAAATATCTGCAAGAACACCCACTTCGTCATCGCGGGCCGCACCTTCCTGTGGCAGCAACGAACACGCGACTGTAAGCACAGACTCCATTATCATAGCGTCGCAAGAGATGAGCCCAACAGAAGCGTACCGCTCTAGGAAAAGCGCGAAGGGGAAGATGGAGAGAGTGGCGAAGGCGTGGCGGTAGACGACGAGCACGTAATGGCTCATCCCGTTGGTGAGCGACACCTTGGTGATGATGTTCATGCCGGCATAGCCGAACTGGAGAGAGATCATGGCGATGTATGGCTTCGCCCTCCGCAGGTACTCGCTGTAGCCACCCATGAGGAAGAAGAGCCAAGCGCTACCAGGAGCTGAGCAGAGGGAAAAGAGAGACGATGAGGGATCGATCACTCTTCGTTCACCTGAGAAGAAGCGACTGGCGGCAGGCTCCGATTTATACTGCTCGCGGGTAGAGTGCGGTGCCCCTTCGCCACGGTGGGGCGCCGTGGAAAATCCATATGTCCGAAGTGGATGGGGGCTACTGCGGGCATCCGCCCCATATGTGGCACGGGTTCGGGATGGTGCGTGCTGATGCATGGCGCGCTAGTATCGTGGCCACGAAATAATGGCGTGGGTCGCTTTCGGACGCGGCGCGCTGGTCCTTGCATCAGGACCGTTGGATGGTAAGAATCGACGGCCGAAGTTTGCCGCGTATAAGGTTCGCCGTTCTCGGCGCATGTACACGAACCTTTGGGGTGTACTGCACATACATCATAAAAACTCGTCAATCTGTGCGTTTCCGCAGGCGTTGCCGATCACCTCCGCACGTGCAACGCACGCCATGACCCCTCGATGGGTCGAGGAGAATCCACTGTGCATGGTGACATTGATATATATATATATATTGATAACACTGATAAATATTTTGGATTAGATCACACTACTCCCGATTTCTCTTCTAAAATATAATTCTTATAATTATTCTGTAATCCTTTTATAATTCTTTTAAATCTTTGTCATCCAAATAAAAAAGATACAACCAGGAAACGAGAGCATATTAAAATATGACAGGAAGTAGATGCTCTGCAGCTCAAAAAGTGACCGACACAGCACAAACCTAACAGCTTTGAGGAAGCTGGGCTTGTCATGCTCCCCATTGTTTGGCACATGATCACATCCAAAACACCAAGTTGCAGATCCTTGTGGGACCTGCAAAAACGTTCTCATACTGGTTGGTATCTTCAAATCTCGGAGTGTTCGACAACACTAATGACAGATTCATAGTATACAGCAACCTTTCTTTCTGTAGCTTCATTAACCTGGAATCGGGATTTGGACGATTTGGATCTGATTCAACTACTCAAAATCAAAATTTGACCGTCAATCAAATCGGATCGGAATCGAAACCAAACAATAATAAGTCTGGACTGTTCGGTTCTAATTTTAATTACGTAGAACTGAACAAATTATTATATATATATATTATGGATTGATCAAATTTTTTATGGTATTACGTATGTGAATATATTATAAAATTATTAATTATTTGCTGCTTTATATTATTTCTAATTAAAAATTAAAACATAAAGAAAAAAGGAACGAACCGGATCCGGACTGGCGGTTCTGGACCCAGACCTGGTTCGGTTCATGCCTGGGGTGAAGCGTGCGTTTCGAGCTCTCTTCATCACGTTTGTCCAGTGGCGACATAGATTGCAGCAGAAGATAACTCTTGTAGTGAAGGTCAGCGTCAATGGCAGCAGCCCAAAGATCATGCAGCTACTGCACATTCTGCTGTCGAAGATCATGGAGCTTAAATCACTGCAGGTGTTGAGTATGTTCTGAGGCTTGGATTGCAGTGGACTCAATTTCTTAACCCGTTACAGCAAAAAAGCATGGACAACTTGTGGCCAACCAGGTGGTAGTGGAGTTGGGCTCTCCTTTCTTGCTGGGCGACTAGTGGTGGATGACTAAGGTTTAGCATGTGGAAGGAAGGGGGAGAGAATGAAGCCTTCAGGTTCGTGAGCATGCGAGAAGATTAGGAAAGGGGTCTTTTGTTGTGTCAGTTTACTTGTTCTGTGTCTACCTTGTGTTTGTTAAAATGCCTTTGCAGCTGCGGAATGCGGTAGTCCCACGAGAGTCGCATGGACAAGGAATCGAATTCTTATGGTGGCTGCGTGCAGAATGCCTAACACACACCGATCGAAGGTTCTCTCTCCACGCCCAAAACCCTCTTTTTCTTATATTTATTTCACATTATCTATTATCACTCTAATAATTTAAGTCGGAGTACAAAACATGTTGTGACGTAATTCAAATATAAAATTAGGATCAAATTTAGAAGCCTAAGAACTGAATTATTTACAATGAACAGTTATAAATGTTTTCTTACATGGAGTCATTCAGTATGATATACGTGGGGATTTATATGAAAAATAAATTTCATTCCCTTCATTTTTGCTCGAGCCAAGATGATGAAAAATTAACTTGTCTGATTTTTTTGGAGAATGAATAAAATCATAAGAATTCACCTATCCATATCCTATGTGTAAAGAGAAGGTAACTGACAGACTAACTATGCGAGGGAAGCCACTAGAATTAATGAGGCTAAACATTTTTGGAATGAATGGATTTTCCTGGAATTAGATGTTTTGATTTCCTAGAGTGGAGGATTGTAAATAATACTTTTTTTTTTCTAGAAAAGAATTCACCTATTCCTATAAGAAAGGAACTTTGACTTGAAGATCATGAATTAAGATTGGCTAAAGGACAAAAGCCTTTGGATTGAATTCACCACGTCTTTATTATTATTATTATTATTATTATTATTATTATTATTATTATTATTATTATTATTATTTATTTATTTATTTATTTTACTTTATCACGGTAAAACATAATTAGAATATTAAATAAAAATAAGTAAATAAATAAATAACTTGGGTCTGTTTCGGCTCACAAGCCGTCTCATTGGGCCGTGTCTCCATGTCCGGTCCGGCCCGGTCCAAAATACTATGTAATGGCGACTCGCCGATTTATGCCTCGCTTGAGCCTCGAACTCGTTCGTCAGCGAGGAACCTTTAGCCATGGCGTCGTCGCCGGTCGAGAGTCCTACGTCCGGCCCTTCCACTGTCTCCGATGCCATCGGCTCGAGGTCCCTCGTCGGTTGCTACACCAGCCGGATCTGGAGGACGTTGCGGGACCGTCTGCCCTCTCTCAACTCGTCTCTCCTCGCCAAGATGTCCCACATCTTCCGGCGTGGCACCCCGGCTCATCGCCATTGCAGACGGAGGTCCGGTCTTCCGCTTCCGCTGCATTCCAGCGCCACCATGTCTTCTTCGTGAGTTCTTCCCCTTCTTCTTTCCCGCATTCAAGAAACAGGATATGCTGTACCCTCTTGCTCGTGTGTCTCTTTCTTCTGGTGAGCAAGGGAAGATGAGGTGGACTGCAGAACACGGAATTTTGATAGCCAGATCATCCTTGCCATCCAATCAGTTGGTCATGGTCCTTTAGAGGACTTAAACCCTTGTTTTCTTCCATGCTTCCTCTCTAACATCTTTGATGTGTGATAAGAGCCTAGGGTTGGAGAGAAAAAGGGATGATTATTTCGAGGGGATCGACATTATCACTTCGAGGGGATCGACCTCCTAGGGCTTGTCAAAAGACCGAATAATATTTCATTGCTTGTCGAAAATAAACAGTTATATCCATCCATATTTATAGAATTCTACCCAGAGTCCACCAGGACTTGGACTCTTAATAACTTCTATCCGACTCTAATTGAACTAAACAGACTTAATAAATATTATTCAAAAGTTCAGAAAATAAAAAGATTCTAACAATTCCTCCCCCTTCAAATCAGTCTTGTCCTTAAGGCTGAGTAACATCAAACTCGGGGAGTTTCTCTTTGAGCACTTCAGTTACAGGATATCTGCGGCGCATCACAACCCGTTGATCAAGTAAGTACGGTTTCCACTTCTTGATAGTGTAAGCAATAGGTCGACCTTTCGGTGTTGCAGTCTTTTGAAAAACCCTCTCCATCCGATGGCTAGTGATAGTTGTGACCTTACTTCCACGTCTTCCCATTAGGATCACTTGCTTTCCATTAATAAAAAACTTTATGATTAGTTTAGAAAAATTCCACGAAACATCACCCAAGGTTGATAGTCATTCAATTCCAAGCACCATTTCGAAGTCTTCTAAGGGTAGTAAAAACTAAAAAGAAGTCCACAAGCAACTCTTGGCCCTACAAAGTAAGTTTAATCTTTGAGCACTTGCTTGCACAAGTTAAAATCCATCCATCGACGACTTTTACTTCAAATTTGTTACAGTCTTCAATGTGGTAGGCCAATCGGTTAGCAGTCGTACTATCCATAAAATTGTTAGTGCTATTAGTATCAATCAAAACTATAACATGCTGATGTTCCAAAGTTCCTCCAACTTTCATAGTTTACGGGTTAGAGTAGCCGGCTAATGCATGCACTGTATGTATGATAGGTCCAACATCGTCATCAGAATCCATACCTTCATGATCGGAGTCCACATTGTTAGCTTCTGGTTTCTCCCCAATTGATTCAATCATCAGAAGTTGCCCTTGTTTACATCTGTGCTCCCTACCCCACTTTTCGTCACAGTGCCAGCATAGACCCTTCGCTGATCTTTCCTTGAGTTCTTCTCGGGTTAGCCTTTGGGTGTTAGGGTTCCGGCTGGGAAGAGATGAGGCGGGTGGCTTGCTGATCATCTGTTTGTTGTCACTTCTGTTTCGACGATTTTCCCTGTTGATTTTTTCCTCATCGTAAACGTGCAAATGATATCGCAGCGATCATAGTGCGGGGTTGACGAGCCTTAACTTCACACCGGATATCTGGATTAAGTCCGATGAATGTACCCACCAGTTGTTGTTCAGACCAATCTCTGGCTTGATTTGACAATCGTTTAAACCTGCTCTGATATTCTAATATTGTAGAAATTTGACGAATTTTGACAAGCTGTCTATCAACATTCTCATATTCAGATGATCCAAAGCGAACAAAAAGCCCTCTCTTAAACTGCTTCCACGAGGGAACTCCGTGGTAAGTTTCATAGCAATCATACTATTGGATTGCATCTCTATCTAGCTGGATTGAGGTTATTTCTACCTTGGATTCTTTTGGGGTTCTGTGAAAGCGAAAAAAAATTTCTGCCCTAGAGATCCAACTGGTCAGATCCCCATCTTCCCATCTTGGAAATTCTACCTTAATGCGTAGGTAACTTGTGTCATAAACTTGGGGCCCTTTTCTTGTATCTTCAGATCTGTTCAACGTAAAACTTGAGCTCCCATCTTGTTGAAACATGCTAAAGTGCTCCAATAAGCTCTTTTTGAAATCGTGAAGGGTTTCTTGTAGCCGATTCTCAATTCTAGTTTCCAATGCTTCAATTTGTGCTTTCACTGAGTTATCGGTAGTCATTGCGTAAGACTGCAAATCTGTAATCCCCAGTTCTTGTTTCTGATGTCTAGTCAAGGGCATCATCACTGTCGATGCGAAGCTACCGAGGAAGCGGACGTCGAGGGTAGTGCTGCGATCGCTGCGTGTGTTGCTAGAGGGCGGCTGCAGCGGAACGAGGGGGGTAGTCGCTGGCTGGGAGCAGCGGCGGCGGTGGTTGCTGGTCGGGAAGCAATAGCGAAGGGGAGGAAACTGTGGTGACCGGCTACTGCGGCAGAAGATGCAGAGTTGCCCTGTTTCGATCGCCTCGAGGAGGGGAGGTTGCTGCCGAGGTTAAGAGGCAGTAGTGGTGGCGTGGTTGGGGAGTAGCGTCGGTGGTGGTCCGCTGGTCGGGAAGCAGGATGGGTGTGCGTGGTTGGAGGGCGACTGCGGTGCAATGAGGAGGGGAGGTTGTTGGCTGAGGGCTGGGAAGTTGAAGGCTGGGCGGTTGTTGCGACGTTGACAAAGGTTGAGAGGCAGCGAAGGGTCCGGCGACTGCGGCAGTAGAGGATGCTCTGTTGTCGATGCCGGTGGAGGAGAGGAAGTGGTGGTCGTCGAGGTTGTGGCACAACGAGGGGAGGTTGCTGGTTGAGGAGGGCTGGGAGGCTGCGTGCGGGTTGAAGGCCGGGTGGCTGCGGTGGCGTTGATAAAGGTCGACAGGCAGCGGAGGGTCTAACGGCTATAGCAACAGAGGATGCTTTGTTGTCAATGCCGATGGAGGAGAGGAAGTGGTGGTCGCCAAGGCTAGGAGCGATGAGGAGGGGGGGGGGGGGCGGGTGGTCCGCTGGTTGGGAAGTAGATGGGTGTGCACGGCTGCGACGGTCATGGTTGCCCTGTTTTGGTTGCCGCGAAGAGGGATGTTCGAGCGGCTGCGACCCAAGGGGAGGCGGGTGGCGGTGGACTCTGGTCGGGAAGCGGTCGCGGGGCTGCGGCGGGACGGGACGCTAGCAGCGTTATCTCTGGCGAAGGCTCGGCTAAGGATGACTACGGTGGAAGGTGGGATGAGGCGCCCCTTTCTCACTCGAGTGGGTTGGGGTGTGAGCGGCTAGAGGGCAGTTGCAGCACAATGAGAGAGAGAGAGAGAGAGAGAGGTGCTGGCTGGGAAACAGTGGCGGTGGTGGTCGCTGGCCGGAGAGCAGCGGCGACAGTGGTCCCTGGCCGAAAGCAGGGGCGAAGCCTCGCTCGTGAATGTGGCTGCGACGACCCTTTCTCACTCTTCTCACTTTTTTTTTTTAGATGATGATAATTGCGACGAAGTGTTGTAAGGAATTGCAACGAGAACGTCGAGGATCGCTGCTCTGATACTAAATGATAAGACCCTAGGGTTTTATCATTGAAACAAGAGGAGAAAAGGGGATATCACTTCGAGGGGATTGACCTCCTTGATCACTTCGAGGGGATCAGCCTCCTAGGGTTTGTCAAAAGACTAAATAATATTTCATTACTTGTCGAAAAGAAACAATTACATCCCTTACCCGGAGTCCACTAGGACTTGGCCTCTTAATAATAAATAAATATTAAATAAACCTCTATTCGACTCTAAGTGAACTAAACAGACTCAATAAATATTATTTAAAAGCTCAAAAAAGAAAGGGATCCTAACAATGTGTTATATCATTTCTTCCTTTGGTCAAACCATTTTGATTGTTAATATTTCCACAACTACTATTATTCTCTATGCTTTGTTTGTTCGCACTTCTTTGACTCTGTGGTATCATCTATTTAGAAGCGATAGGATCTGATCGGAATTCTCGACATTGGTCCTCCTTCTGGTCCAATCAATTTGTTCAGACATTTAGAGAGCCGGCTGGTAATACCAACCTGGTTGAGGATCGGTGGATTTCAGAAACCATGATTTTAGCCTTACTTCTCAATAATCTAGAAACAACATGCCAAAACGAAAATAATCTTTGAAATAATCATGGTAGATTAGTTTAAAGCCCGGTTTACTATCTTGCCTGCTATGTTGCATTAATTTTCTGATGTTCTATTCGAATTAATACTCTGCTGTAGTCACATTTTCATAAGAAACAGTAACAAACTATTAGTTGGCTAACCAGTTTGAAACTCCATATTGCAGAATTGCAGCCAGAGCATCAAGAGCGTCCATTATGTTAGAAGACATTATGGAATATGTATTATGCAATTTGCATAATGTTCAGAAAAGTTTGCACTTTTGGCAATCTCGAGCTGAGGTGTTGTTGTGTTAATTTATTTATTGTCTCAGTGTTACTTGCTATATATGTTTGAGGAAGAGTTATTCAGCAGTAAACACGAGACATTCACTCTTTTTTTTTGTTAATGAAAATGCTATGTCTGTTGTCCTTAGGGAACAAATGCTCGGAAGATTTATTTCATGATCTTTGAAAGAGGACCATTGGCCTTTATTGATGGTGCTTATGAAATGATAAGCAGACTTGGCCCCGGTGGCGCTCCATTTCAGCATCTATCTCATGCTGCTTCCAATACAATATCTCACAAAATTGCTAGTTTGACCATTCTAAGGCGCTGCCTCGCCGATTTTCTTGCACAGGTTTCCCTGCATCATATATTTGTTTTATTATTGTTGTATTATCTATTGCGTATCTTTCTACTTCTAGACTAGATGATTGAAGTGATGATAAGATTTTGTTGTGAATCTTCCTAATGTCTTTTACTCTAGGTGTTATTAATTCTACATGTTTACCTATTCTTGAAGGTTTATTTGGAAGTTAACAAGTATGGTGGAACGTTGATTGAAGATGCTGACAAGTCACTGCCTTTTGTGCTGCTGTCCATAAATAGCCTTTTCGTAAAACTAGAAGCTTCCATTTCCCAAGCACATGAACTGCTTGTAGTTCATAATGTCAGTCTAATAAAATAGAAAATTTTTAATTTAAATCTTTTAACATAAAATAGGAAATTAGTATACATAAGACTTATGTTGCTTTCTTTTCTCTTCATGCTTTATGTGATTATGGAAGAGTGACAAGTCCTCTGTGGATCAGAACGGCTCATATATACTTCACTTCGAGAAAATACCTGAGGTGGACCTTGAAATATCTCAGTGGACGGAGACTAATATAAGGGATACTACAGATCTGATTTATCAGAATATCCAGAGATTAGAATCATATTTATCTTTCATTGTAAGTAGACTCTTAGACTCTTAGTAAGGACTCATGGTTTAGTTTTGTTTCTGGGCAGATATCGTTGATCTTGGTAAATGCTGTCAATTTTCTTTTAAATTTTTGGTCTGTTTGCACTTTGTCTTTTTGTAATATGCAATTATGGATGATGATAATGATATCATTTGCTGCACTTTATTTAATGTATTAGGAGGGCGGAATTTAAGAAATTTCATACATTCAATTGATCATATTTTGTCAAAAAGGAGAAGAGAATATTAACTGAGTCTTTGAGTGAGAGCTTTTTTATGTCTGCTTTTGTGAATTGGTTAATTGATGAACAGTTTGACCCCAAGAAAGCTATTATGAATTACTTTTAATTGTCTGGTTAGGCAAGAATCTAGAACTTGAAGATTCAAAATAGCTGTAGAAATCATTTTTGTGATGTCAATCTAAGGTGTAATCCAGAAATGGGGTCATCTTAATGGGTGGTTATGCTTTATCCATCCCATTGACAAATAGCAAAAGAAGTTACTATCAAGTTGTGATGGTGCACTTGCTTTGCACACAAAATCATGGAAATAAGGATCCTTTATTTGGGCTTCTCTGTGCACCTAGGTGCAAACATCTTGAATATCCAAGAGCACTATGATTTTGGAATCCAATTAGTCCATGTTGCTGGGGAGTGCTACCGCCACCTCCTACTGATAGATGAATGGAGCAAATGTACCAAACCTCAAAAGATATAGATCTCCCTATTCTTCCTTAAGAAGAAAAAAAAAGAAATAATTTTATTCTTTTTTTTTTTGGGTGGGGGGGTTGGGGCATGTGGTTGAAAAATATAGATCTCCACATACCTTGCCATTTTTTTGAAATATTTTAAAGAAAAGATAGTAACTCACCATTGTTCTATCTACAAATATGATGCCAAACATGAATATTTCAAATGCTTGTGAATTCCACCTGCTGATTGTTATGGACTTCATGTTATCTATCATTTGCCATTTCCAATGTGCTTTAAAAATTCCTTTTATTATATGACCTATATCAGAAATTGTTTCTTTAGGGTGTTTTGCTGATTAACGATGATAGTGTGGTTCATATTAAAGGTACATTTGGTTCATTTCAACTCAATCCAAAAGTCCCTTGTGCCCAAATTGACACGCCTTTATAAATAATATCCTCAATGACCTTGAACTATGGTGAGCTGATGTTATGGAGGTTAGCCAAATGACTGTGGGCTGTGGTTACAAAACTGACTTGTAGTTTTGACTTTTGACTTTTGACTTTTGAGTAAGGTTCGCAATTTTGTATACCATTAGTGTAACGGTCGGAGCTTGGAGTGGTTCTCTACCGGTGTACTGAGAAGTTGAAAAAAAAAACTGCTGCCTAGTATCAGGCCTGACTGTCAAAATTCTATAAAAAAGTTGAAAAAACATCAAAAAAGAAATGGCCTAGTGTCAGACTTTAGTACAAGTCATGTATAGGGTGTAGCAAGTGGTAAAGGTCTTGAACCGAGTGTATCATTTGATTTACCATGGTTCACATATCGATAGGCTGTTGGACTGGTAAATGATGCCCATACTCTACCATAGTGGATGGTATTGTAAACCTTGATTTTAGGTATCCAGCTATTGGAGATCACTGGATAGCCGATGATTGAATATCATTTGTTGGTTATGATAACTAGTGAATGGCTGGCTCAGGAACGACAATGATCGACTGTCAAACATCTTGTGGTTGATGATACATTATTGTTAAAAGATGAAATTTTTTTTATGATCTTGTAATGTTTGACAATCAGTCAACAAAATGATGTTAGGTGGGTGGCATTCAATAACTAACATTCTATTAGTTGTCTAATTTACCAATAACCAGTGATCATAACTGACAATAAACCAATAATTGAGATCAATAATTGTCAATCCATAGGAAGCTAGAGCTCATCGAGTATTTATTTGTTTGGGATCCATATTACTGGCCATCAGACAAACTTATAAATTTCAGATGATTAATGGCTGACTTTATCAATCTCATGGTCTTTTGGTGGTAAGGCAGGTTAATGTTTCGTCAGACAATTACCAACCATTGTCAGTCACTAGTCAGTTATCTATTGTCTCTGATTGGTCTAACAACCATATTTCTCAACTAAAGATATGTGGAGACCAACAATCTCTAAAGTGTCATTTTTCTTCATCAACCATGGTTTATTGGATTAGATAGATTGGTGAAGAATTTGGGATAGATTGACTGAAAAAATATTTAGATGTAACATCTATAATATCTATAATTTTCAAAAACATGCTGACATCGTAGTACAAAACAAAATTACAGAAAACCCCTCAAAGCAAAGTAAACCATAGTCCCATGATCGCTCTTTTTCTCCCTCTCTATCTCTCTATATATACACTCACACACATATGCATCCAGTAAGAGGCACAGGCAAGCAGTGACGGAGCAGTGGAGAAAAAGGTCAGACCTTTTCTCTTGTTTCTGCTTTCTTTCCTTCGGCATAGTTGGCTGCCTCCGATGGAGGTGTGACTGCTATTACTAGCATCACCACTTCTTTAAGTCTCTTTTACTTCTTGCAACAGTATTATATCAGTTGTAACAGGCCCAAATCAGCAATTCCTGACCTAGACTTTCTGATTTTGATCAGTGTCCATTGAGCTAACTCAGGTTTGAGAATGGCCACTTCAGATCCTGGATCAGAATGAAATTGGCCTATTTGGCGAAACTTGTTTAAAATTATTGTTTTAAATATACTAAACAGTGAATGAATCAGAAAGTACATTTGACTTCAGCCACATACAAAATACAATATCCTAATAATACTTCCACACTTCTACCACAGAAGTTGGTGCTCGGAAAACAATGATGGTAGATGAGCATATAATATGGTAGATGTCTTTCAGAGAAGTATTCATTTTTGGGTTATAATTTTTTGTTCCATCATTCTTACTATTTTCATTATGTTGTCATGTGTAACAATTGTTTTTTGAATTTGTGCTTGTCAGCTTTCCACATGTCAAAAACCAAAGAGATTGACATTATATTGGTTACATTACACCTGCGGTGCAGTTGGCCTGTCACTATGTTCAGTGTGGCTCTTGCGGCATAGTAGTTTGACGGGAAGCTCTGACATAGACAATTGGATCTGTGAAGCAAAGGAATCTGCAACTGGATTTCTGAAGGATCATGTTGAACAACCAGTATGCTGCATAAATTTTTTATTTAATACTGTTTTTACTTCTCAGTGCTAGCCAACATGATCTGGTTGAGTCAAACTTGGTGCTTTCTTGAGTGTGAATACGAAGACAATCCTATCTTCAACCATGCTCTTTGGAATTTGAACTAACCATTGCTGCAATAGCTCAAGTCAGTGGACCAAAGCTGACCAATAATGGCCTTAGCTTAACTCCAAGGTTCTCATCTAATTAAGATGAGACATGTTATGATGTGCCTCAACTTTACTGTAGCTATCAAGAATATCTCTGCCTTAATACCTTTTCAAGTTTCTTTTCCTCTACACTAGTACGCTGTTAGATCAACTGGTTGTTTTGACAAGATCAATTCTCCTTCACCTTAGGAGGAATTCCAATGGAAGAGCTTGAAGAAGCAAGATCTCCAACTGTTCCCACTAGTCCATTAACACATTTTTAGAAGTTCCATGTGAAAAGAAGCAAACATCTACTAGTGGAATGAAGGATCACTGCCGATAAGGATCCTCCTACCCTTGAGCTTTGACAACCGTAGAAACCCTTTCTTCACCATTTATAATAAAGGGAGTTATTGGTCCAAGATCCAGTGGTGTTGTCATTTCACCTCGGTTCCCTCAGTTTTAGAGGTTACATGATGAGGCTGTTAAACTATTCATGGTATGTGACAAGCAGAGCCAAGATGTTCAGCTGTCCTTAACCATGATCTTAGCTTCTTGTCTATTTGATTGGAGATGTGGGGCCTATATGAATTCCTCCAAGTAATTTTGGTTAAGCCTTCTTTTGTTATCATGACAGCTCACTTGCAGAAGTTATTATAGTTTCTGTTTTATCATCTTGGTTTCTTTTGCCATCTCTTCTTTTTTCCTATTTTAAGTGATCTTTAGGCTGAGAAAAGGCCCTGAGTCAAAATGATTTTTTGATATCATTACAAGATCTCTAGGACCAAGTAATGGAGGATTTTGCCAGTCTTTAAAAATTTCAATGCTAAATCAAATTCTACTAAGATACTAATCAAGTCATCACTAATGCCCAATATGGAAGTGCCTCTAATGGACTTCACTTAACCTATTAGATTATTGAACTGAATCTTGACGATCTTCACAAAGATTCTTTTCATTATGTTCGCCAGACTAATCTCCTTATCCACCTGGTCTGATTATCATTCTTCAAGTGAAGCAGCATCACTGATTTCTTCATGAGCCATTTGATAGAAGAATATCAATTTTAAACAGGACAAGATAACATGACCCAGAGTTGACATTGATAAGGGATAACATTTTTTAGGAAACCTAAAGTAGTATGTCATGATCCCAATTAATCTGAGAATGGCATGATGTGATCCATTTGAAAAAAAAAAAAAAAATTAAATATTTGCGTTAAATTGAATACTTTTACATATAAACCTAAATTGATACAAATCTAACGATGAACACAAATGGACTAAATTTATTGACAGCAAGGAACACAATTTTGTTCGGACTGATTCATATCAATTAGCATTTGTCAATCTGGGCATGAATATGGATGTGGATTGCCAGCAGTTAGGGCTTTGCATGCGGTCTATTTGACTTCTCAAATATTGATGCCTCAACTTCTTGATGCTACTCGCTAGCTTGCCTCTTGGTTCTCCTCCTTTCTCTCCTCTCCTCCTGCCTTGTCTCCTCTTCTCCTCCTCTTCTTTTCCGTCTCCTCTGGTACACATTGGTGTACCTTGTGTTGGTACTCAGCATGGGTTGGATTGGTATTCGTTTGGCTATGGGCTGGATCCATACTGGTATAGTCTTGGACTGTCCGGCACCCAAAATTAAATTCCTTGGTTGACTCTCCTACTTATTTTTAAACTAGAAATTTAGCACACACGTGATAAGCTTTTTTGGGACTTCATGTTTAACATGTTTAAAGCTTAAGGGTTTAGCTGCTGGTGATGTAGTTGGATCAAAGTTCTTTGTCAATCACCAATGATCTCCATCGATGACTCTGTTACTTGTTATTTATCACCCAAATGAGGCCTGTGACAGGGTAACTTCCTCCCTCTATCCATTGCTATTCATCTTGGCAGTAGATGTTCTTACTAGATCACTTCATTTACTGAACGAACTTGATTTAATTAATGGCCTGTTCTTCAAATTATCATTTTGCATACTGCATGTTGACCCATTTTTGGCTGAAGAAAGGAGGTCGCTCTTTGTTGTTCTAAACTTGCAAGTCTTCCAATTAATTTTAACAAGCACAAGCAATCTAAATTAGCTCACAACATAAGCTGCCGAAAAGGCTTCCTTTATTAATTTAAGCTTTGATTTCCCTCAGCAATATCCAGGTTTGACAAACTTGGTTTTCATGGCATAAGAGTTATTCCTAGCTAAATGGAGGAGTTTGAAGATGGGCTTGTTTTCCTCTGTTGAACCATGTGGAAGGAGAGGAACAATAGAATCTTCAAGGTTGCCTTGGTGACTTTTAGGCAGTGGACTTTGATGTTTTTTGGGATTGAAGATTCAACACATATTTAGTTACTTTTATTTTGTTCCTCACCTTTCTTTCTCTCCCTCACTTTCTCTCTTTTCTCATCCTTTTTACTGTACTTAATGAATAAGACTGCAGTGGTGCTACTTTTGCCTCAAAAGAAAAAAAGGAAACCATATAATGTCTCTTGCATTTTTAAGTGATTCTGTAAGTATGACCTGTGGGCTTATGCTTCATGGCTTGCAGACCTATGGGCTTATGCTTCATGGGTGGAGACAGCATGTTTCAAGCAGGAACCATGCCCTATGAAAAAATCTTTGTTGTAGCTTTCAGGCCTAGATTTTGGAGTATTGGTTTAATGAGCTGAAGCTTTTTATGTCTTGCTTAAAGAGTACTTATCAAATGTAATGGTGATAGTTAAGTTTATGACTCATGGAAACTTCTCAGTTCTTACCTTCTGTTTTTTTAGTTGATGCTGTATACTATTGCACAGATTGAATGCATAGACTGTTTATGCTAAATCAAGTTAATTATGATTTTTATCTGATTTTCAGTCTGCAATTTTCAGCTTATTTCCATCAGAGATGAACTTTTTGAAACATTTAGGAGGAGACATAAAGGCGTGATGGAAATAGAAGAGGTGCAGTTGACTGCCGATTCTTTACACAGGTTAAGTTCTACTATTTCTTTGTGATCTATGTATATAACTGATAGTCTGATACCACAAGTCAGCAATTTAATCAACTTTCTGATTTTGTGTGGCCTTTGTTCCCCTTCCAATTGTTAGTGTTTTGGTGGAAAAGGTAAATTTCCAGTGAATTTTCAATATAATTACATGGACAACCATTAGAATCTGCGTTGTGTGGGATCTTCTCTTTATTTCATTTTTTCAGCTGGTTTGACAATGGAACCAAAATTGCTATTCTTGGTTGATGCTCACCTTATTGGCTGCTGGACTCTTAGTGACTTTTGGTGAATTTCTAGGATGTTGTTGGCTTTCTGTGAGCAAACAAAAGGTCGAAAGCTACCAGAGAATATTCCAGATCAGGAAATGCTGGAAATGGTCATGGCCAGGTAAAAATTACAATTCTTAAACATACCTAAAGCTGTTTTATACAGTATTTACTCTGCACCCACTCTCTGATGACAAGTGATGACCATTTTCTACATTGACTTTCTCGTGCATGTGCAAATATGTTTGCTTCAGCCTTCAAGGACAGAAATAATGTTACGTATTTTGTTTATTTACACATGCTTCTGTTACTTTCTTTTTCTGAACTATTGATCTTTACATAATATGATGGAATCTCACAATGATCGTTCCCTTCTACCATTTTTTCACAATGTATCCAATTGCTTTTGTGGTTGATGCTTTTTAATTTGGAATCATTTTGCAATTGCCTTCCCAATATCCCGCTTCTTTTCTTTTGTATATGCATCGTCAATCCGTATCTGTTTCGCTGTATATAAAGGATAGGCTTGCGGATCAATATCAATAATATCTGGTGCGGACCTCCTATCAAGTCCTCTTATAAAACCATGGATTCCATCCTGCCTCATGCTACCAATTCGACTTAACTGAGGAGGGGTAGTTGGTTGCCTCATGTTGATCGACCTTTGGATTCCTTGTGACGCAAATCTACTCCCTCCGCCACCGCTACCGCTATGCTCTCTTCGTGAGTCAGGTCATCGATGCCTCATTGCTTCCTTGTAGATATACTGATGCTCTAGTGATGCACGAATACCAGCTTTGATATCCAAGTTGATTTTATCGTCGCGACCCTCATTGTCATCATACATTGATTCTTACGTAGCCCTATAGTCTTCTTCCTCCGCTCTTGCCTGCTTTTTTTATTGTATCTTCTATTGTCTATTATAACTGGTTTTGAAATGATTTACGGACCTCCGTCAAGGAACCTTCTTGCATTTTGCAACATCAGATACCCACTGGCCAAATGCATCTTGACCTAGGTGATTCCTCCACCCTTGCTGATGTAGTCACAATAAATGTATTGTCAATGATGATGGTTCCTGTCCATCTTTCAGGCATGATCCCGAGCGTTCTCATGTGCCTGTTCCTTTGGTGCTATGTTCCTAGAAAAATTAAATCAAATAAGCTAGTTGCGATTAGTCCTAATTTAAAATAATAAAGTGCAATTACACGTAATGTCGTAATGAACCCTATTTTGTCACTATAAATATGTCAATCAACCTATTTGACATTAAATACGTAGAATTAACTCAATATCATTGAATATACTAATTACAGTAATAAAAAACTTAATTAAACTCTAATTAGCTTTATTTTATCACTATAAATATGTCAAACATCCTAAAAAGTATTAAATATGTAATTTTGATCCAATATAGGTTAAATTACGATGAAATCATCAATAGATAAACAAATCACATCATTAACATAGTTAATTACTCACTAATTATTTCTCTTTTATCACTATAAATATGCCAAGCACTCTAATAGACATTAAAGACATTTAATTGACCCAATAATTTTCAATATCATCATAGTTAATTAATCTCTCATTAATCCTCTTTTACCATTATAAACATGTCAAACACTCTAATAGGTATTAAAGACTTTGAATTGACCCCATATTGATTAAATTTTGATTAAATCATCATTAAAACCACTAATCATAGTATTAAAAAAAACTTAATTAAAACCTAATTAAACCTATTATACCATTACAAACATATAAATCGCCTTAAGAAAGAGAATATATACCCTTTGATTAGAGTGAACTTCCTCTTAAGTCTCGCAAATTAACCTCCTAGATTTGATCCAATCTACAAATCATAGTCTTGTTGAGTTTAGGAGAGTGAAAATGTAAGAATGAGGGAGAGATATGAGTGAAAAAGAATTTAAGAGAGTTGATTGAGAAAGTGAAATGAGTTGAAAGAGGGAGGAAAGGGTTTAAAAACCATTTTCTAAGCCTCAAACGGTCAATTTGACCATTTGAAATAGGGTAATCTTGGCCTTTGATCTGTAATGGTCTGATTTCGACCGTTACCACCGGGTATAGACCCCGTATCACCCAATAAGGGATCATGTGACAATATTGCCCACTAGAGGGCGGTCTGTGTACCAATATCTTATTGAACCGATACAAATCGTCTGTACCAAGCGGTACAGGTCGGCACAACAATCTTTGCTTAAATTCACAATTATTATGATTTTTTTCACATCCATTAATACCTGTATAAGTTAATTACTTCGACTTGTTGAATTGTCAGAAAGATGCTTCTTGATAATTGATATGTTAGTGTACCATTCAAGGTTATAAATCTCGGTCTGATACTAGTTTTGGTAATCTACTAGATCAATGTGGTGACATATTGATCCATGCCACCTAATTATAAACCACATAAAATATTAAGATTTTAAATGCTGATCTTTACCGGAACATATGGTTCGATACCGGTCCAAGCATGGACCGGTAAATACTGGATGGTATGCATCATACTGATTGGTACTTGAAACCAAGGATTGAAATATCGTACCGTACCGTATCGGAGTTTTGACATTCGTTCGGTATGATACGGTATTGTATACCGCTCGGTATACCATTGATATATATATATAATTTTCGACGGCGTCACCTCTCTTCTCCCCACGTGAGGCGACGTCACATATATATATATATATATATATATATATATATATATAATCTTATATATATATTTATATATAAAAGTAAAAAAAATCTGCGATATCGCCTATATATATATATAATACCACCCGGTATGGACAGTATTATTCGAAATTGAAGACCTTGCTTGAAACCATAAGAACATTATAATTTAGTTGTCTGATGATTTGTTTGTATTAACTAGAACTATTCTATGATTGTAACAATTGTATACCTTCGTTAAAAAGAAGTAAATTTTTTTGCATCACCTTTTCAGGAAACTAATAATTGATTATTTCCGATGAGGGCTTTCTTTTATTTTCCATAGGAAATGGTACTTTTTCACACTTGTGCTCATTTAATTATTGCAGGCTTGAACTGAGATTATTCCCTTTTTTAAGTTGTTAATAGTTTCCTCTATATACATCCAGATAACTAGTAGATGTGTTACTGCAGATATGAGAAAGAGGTGATGCACCCGCTTCAAAATCTCTTGAGTGGAGAGCTTGCTCGAGCAATGCTTATTCAGGTTCTTTTCTCCCTTATCTTAAAATAGATGTTATGACTGATCTTGATGCTATTGCATACTAACTCTGTGGAATTACAGATTCAAAAGCTGAAGCTGGATCTTGAGACGTAAGTTGAATCATTTTCATCTGGATGTTTCAATAAAAATATATTATTATATGTTGTTCTGAGTCTTCTGACTGCACTAAAGAATTTTTTTTTATATACAGAGCAATGCTTGAGCTGAATCAGATTCTTAAGGCAAATGAAATAAATTTTGCTATTCTAGCTGCTCTACCAGCCTTTTTTCTTTCTCTTCTTCTGCTTGTGTTGGTACGGGCATGGGTTATTCAGGTAGGCACATATAATTGTTAGATCTTTATTATGGTTTGCAAAGTTCTTATATTTTAGTTGAATTATGATGAAAACTTTGTTATAATTTGTGAAATTCTTGCACATCTATGACATTATCTTTTGGGTATTTTTTCAATATTTTCAGTTGGTTCTTTCATTCTGTTTAAATATGATATTGGCTGTGTTTTCGAGGGAACCTTGACATTTCATATAGGAACGTGCTATAAAGATAGGCACCTAGCCTAAAGTTTCAACTTTCTAGAAACTACCTTGTGTTAAGATTAATATGTGCTTTTAAAGTAAAAACTGCTGAGACATGGTTGTTGTTAATCATCGATGAATAGTAGAGCTGTAAGTGATGAAGTTGGAGCAGCTGATTAGATTGCACATTTGGAAAAGAAGTCTAAAACAAATATGTATCAAAGCTCTAATGAACGATTGAAGGTGATGATTGAAGGTTCTTTCTTCAATTGACCTCAACTCTCTCATTTAGTTGGTCGATCAGGATGCTGTGTTTCAAAGATTCTCAGTAATCATAAACCATGGTGGAGCTAAGCAAAAAATACAAATGCAATAAGAAAAAGAAAAGAAAAATGAACGCTTTTGCTAATGAAGGAAAAAGCAAACTGGAAGTCTCTTTTGTAGAAATGGACTTTGAGAGATGAGTGGCAAGATATGCAAACTAGGGCAGTCAAAATCTATTTTTACAGTAGTTGCTGGACCTTTGTATTGATGATCCGGGACCGAATTATGAAATTCAAAATTTCAAATATTCTCTTTCAACCTCTTGGTCTTTTGTGGCATGTGATATTAAATGGAAGATGGAATGGCTTGGATGTGTGCTACAAAATTGTTACAATAAAAAAATAATATCCTAAATTCCTAATTAGATTATTCAGGATTGGCTCTTTGATTCTTTTTCAGTTGATATCTGTTCTCAAGCCAAATCTGAAAAGCTAGGGCATGATTTTGAGAGGACGAAGAAAAAACTAGAGAACAGTTGTTATATATTTTGTCTATTTTATTTAGAACTAAGGATCTGGATGGTAATTTTCCAAGTCATGGTACACATGGCATGACAAGGCATAACAAGGCTTCAAAGTGCTAGCTTTATGAGCCTCAGCTTCTCAGAAAAGCCTAAAAACAACCTCTATAGCTATCAAATAGAAGTACTAAAAATGTGGTGTATTCAAAATATTTTCTAATTTTTTTTTTTCAATAGGTTGGAACTAAGTTCTCCATTGTCTAGTGTGTCTACAGTTAATTGAAAACTATAACTGCTTGGTCCTTGAAAATCATGATGAAACAATCTCTTCCAACAGTAACATGGATTTCATTGCAATATTTAAACAGAATCTAAAACAGCATATAGAAATTCCTTAGCACAGATTTGGATATCTTCTCCATGCATCTAAAATGAGGAGTCAATGCATCTGGCAAATTCTTTGGCTTATTTTGGTTCTACTGCAATATAAAAAAGGGAAATGTTTGAGCCATGCCAACATGAAAGCCTTGATGCAGGTATCTGCTTATATTGTTTCATCTATTCAGAAACATAGGGCACTACTATTTTTGGAGAGATTGATTTAAAGAGGTCACACTTAAGTTTGGTTGATTGGAGATTCAATGGAAAACAGCTTTTAGCAAAAGGTGGGGCAATAAGAGCGGGTCATGATGTGGTTAGGTATTTGATGCAGGATGGAGAGACACTTAATGCTCCTTTGTATCAATCAGCGTGTCTTTGTTCCCTTTAGCTTGTTGGCTTCAGAAGTTGCTTTCCTTGACTGGCCAATCAGATAATTTTTGTGCATGCTCATTTGATAATTTTTTCTTGTTTCCAATGTGCATTTTTATTTAATCTTTCTTATAAAGCTAACCTAATAGTGAGTTGCATTGCTAAAGTTGTTGGTAGCCAACTTGAATTCTAATTACTGTAGATAATATCAGGATAAAGGTGCAGAAGGCAGAGGGAGAGTTGCTCGCAGGAAAAGGCGGCTTCTTGTTGTTGAAGTTGAGAAAAGACTGGTGCAGTTCCAGACTTGCATGGATGAAGGGAAGGTACAATTGAACATATTTTGCAAATTATTGATATTGGTGAAAATTTTGAAGTTCACTTTCCGTTAAGATATACAAGTGTTTTTTAATGCTTTCGTCTTTTGTGTAATTCAGTTTATTTGGTTTGAGATTGTTGTTGCTTGTTAGGTCGAGACCTGATACCTGTTACCCTCTTTTAGTACCTATCAACTGGTTTTAAGTATTAGGAGAATATAAGCTCCTCAAACTTGATGCTGTTTGCAGCTGTTCATCATTATTGTCCTGATACCAGATTTCTCTTTGTGAGTGGACCAGATGAGCCCACATCATGTCTAAACCTACTGGCCCCAAGATTCTATAGTCTTCCAATACATTATGCCAAAACTGAAAAACTTTCAGAATCAGATCCTTGATACTAGCATAGTTGCAAGCTGGCTTTGTTAACTGGCAGTATGTGTTTTTGCGATGCTTTGGTGAGTCTTATAAGTGAAGGATGGAAATTTTGATTAAAAATTTGAAGTAATAGTGGTTTTAATAAACATTTTCCAGGGTATGCCAAAGTCAAGGATATATACATATTCTAAATGCAGTTCAAAAGATACATGAAAATTATGGTTCCTTGTTACAGGAGCTAATCTTCAGAAGATGCTTTTGGCCAAAAAACATTTTTTTATCTCTAAAAGATGAACTGTGGTTTTGTTTTGCTAAAACATGACTATTAGATGATTTTTTTCACTATTCCACTAGAAGTTGCACATATTCTTTGTCAGAGAATGAATGTTTGACCCGTTGTGTATGAAACATAGAAAAACTGTCGGTTGTTGCACTGTTAAAATTCTAGTCATTCCACTTGGTAACTTTATATTAACCAAAGAAACATGGATCACGTATTTAATACCCCACAACTTTTAATTAAATAGGAGGATGATGCTCGATGCTTGTATGGATTGGTGTTGTGTAGTCTTGATCACCTGTACAAGGCAGTGGAAAGTCATGCAAAGGAAACCGGCGAGTGGATAAGGTTAGTGGTGTTTTCTTCAAATTTCTTATTGCATATGTTGATGGTATTAATTAGTGCAAACGATCTTTTTCTTTTGTTTTTTGTTTTTCCCCTTTGCAGCCTGCGACAGGATATTGTGGACTTAGCTAAGCCGGATTTGAAAACCATATACAAGCTTACTGTTACTTCAAGAATGGGGAGGATGTATGATTGCTTGCTTCCTTCTTCAAAGCGGCAGTGATCAACGATTTCAGTTTTTCACCTTTCAGACTTCTATTATTAAATAGCTCGGCAGGGATTAAGTTTTCATCCACACTATGACTTACAATATATATTGTTACTTTGCATATGTAATCTTTAATTGACATTGTCACTTTTGTGTTTTTTCTGTTTGTTTTACACATTCAGGTATAATTTTTTTGAGTCATTATTACATGTGTGTGTGTGTGTGTGTGTGTGTTTCTCATTGATCAATGGCATATGATGGATCTTACATCTGGAAATATTAGGTTGTAACAATAGTAGTATTAACGTCGGCACCCACAGGCGCTTTCAGCTAACTTGGTTGGATAGGGGGCAATTACGAGGGAGGAGGGGGTGTACCAAATTTGACCTGCGTAACCCACTGGTACGTTTGGTGTGTAAAAAATTGAAGTAGTATACCTTCGTGTGTCGTTTAATAATACTTCATCAGTCAAACCTGACATACGATCGATCTCACGTTTGAATGATCAGACCTAATCGAGGCTGAGGTGAGGTGAGGTGATGAAAGAGCCAAAGCAACGAGCTCTCCTTTGGTCAACATGTCGACTCTACATAAAAAACAACCAATGAGAGTGGAAAAAACCATTAATAACTCTCCAACAACCTTCACCGCTTCCTCCCCCTTCTCTGCCACGCCACCACATGAGATCTCATCACCGGGCGTGCGCCGCCAGAGGGATCAGCTCCGACAGCGGGGTCGCCACCGGCGTCGTCGCCGCAGACGGCACCGGCGAGCTGCGGCATAGCGGGCATGTCGCGCTCACCCTGAGCCACTCGTCGACGCAGCCCGCGTGGAAGCAATGCCCGCAGTCCGGCGCCCGCCGCAGGGCCTCCCCGGCCTCGTACTCTGCCAGGCAAATCGGGCACGGCCCCGCCGGCGCCGACGCCCCGCCCTGGCCGCAGACGAACTTGGGGTAGAAAGCCTCGATGGCGGGGCCGTCTAGTCCTAAGGTCGTCACCACCACAACGGCGGCGGCGTCGCCTGGGGCAGAGGCGGCCGGCCGAACCGGGAGGGACGGGGCGGGGAACGGGCGGTGGGCGCCGCCCTTGACGCGGACGCAGACGTAGGAGGCCAGCATGATGGTGGAGACGAGGACGAGGATGCCAACCGCTATGGCGATGCCGTATCCGAGGCCAACCGCTGCGGCTGACGGCGGCGCTTCGGCCAGAGGTGCAGAGATGGAGTCGGGCGACATAGGAGCATGAGAGAGAGAGAGAGAGAGAGAAAGGGGATTCCACGGGAGAATTCATTTAAGGCTACGTGGTGCAATAAATGAGTGCATGGGACTTCGCCAACGCTATTTTGAATGCAGAGAGAGAGAGAGAGAGAGAGAGAGAGAGAGAGAGAGAGAGAGAGAGAGAGAGAGAGAGAGTAGTAGTAGTAGTAGTAGTAGTA